ATGAGGACAGATGTGTGCCTTTTTTTTTTTTTTTTTTTTTTTAAGAGACGGAGTCTTGCTCTGTTGCCCAGGCTGGAGTGCAGTGGCGCGATCTCAGTTCACTGCAAGCTCTGCCTCCCGGGTTCGCGCCATTCTTCTGCCTCAGCCTCCTGAGTACCTGGGACTACAGGCGCCCGCCACCACGCCCGGCTAATTTTTTGTATTTTTTAGTAGAGACGGGGTTTCACCGTGTTAGCCAGGATGGTCTCAATCTCTTGACCTCGTGATCTGCCCACCTCAGCCTCCCAAAGTGCTGGGATTACAGGCGTGAGCCACCGTGCCTGGCTCCAGCTGTGTGCCTTCTTATGGCCACACCGGGAGGTGCTCTGATCCGGGCACACATCAGGCCCTCCAGACCCTGCAGCACTCCTCACAGCTGCTGCTGTGGGTCCTCCAGCATCTTGGGCCAAATGCCAGATCATCCAGGGTGGGGCCAGTGGGCCTGCTAGGTCTTGGCGGCTCTCAGAACCACAGAAGCAGGGGTGGCCCTGCCTGCCGTGGGAGCTCCAGACACCATCTGTGGCCAGGGTCTGAGTTACTGGGTGTGGCCAGGTCGGCTCTGCTTCTGTAACTCCTCATGTGCTTATGAGTAGACACCCTGCCCCTGGCCTCACTGCAGGGACCACTCATGCCCTGCCCCCTGCCTCACTGCAGGGACCACTCTGCTCCCAACTGTCCACCCAGAGACCTTCCACAGCGGCCATCTGACCACTGGCTTTCAATGGACCTCTCCCCCGGGATAGGCCGAGGGCCTTGGTGACCTCCGGCTCACTCAGTCTCAGGGAGCCCCAGGGTCTCAGCATATCCTTCTAGAGTCCTTCCTGCTGCCAAAGAGAAGGGAGCTGCACCCATGAGGCTGGGGCCAGGTGAAGACAGTGAAGCATGCAGGAGCCCACGTCTAAGGAGGCCCCGACTCTCAGTGCCATCCAAATGCAGGGTGGGTCTTAAAACGAATGCCTCAGGGCCGGGCGCGGTGGCTCAGGCCCGTAATCCCAGCACTTTGGGAGGCTGAGGTGGGAGGACGGCTTGAGCCCATAAGTTCCAGACTAGCTCGGGCAATATGGCGAGACCCTGTGAGACCCTGTCTCTACTAAAACCTTAAAAAAAAAAAAAAAAAAAAAGCCAGGTCTGGGGGTCGAGCCTGTAGCCCCAGTGACTCAGCTGAGGTGACTGGATTACTTGAGCCTGGGAGGCAGAGGCTGCAGTGAGCTGCAATCACAGCCCTGCACTCCAGCCTGGGCAACAGAGCAAGATCGTGGCTTAAGGAAAAAAAAAAAAAAAAAAAGTGCTTCCTTAAATTTTGCACCCAGGTGCCCCCCAGGTGCCCCCTCTGGTCTCACGCTGATCCTGAGGCCTCTATCTACCTGGGTTCATTCTAACCTGCATGACCATCATTCTAGCATTTGTCTAGCACAGGTCGTGTGGCTGTGCCTTGTTCTCAGGCCTCAGCCTGGAGTCCACAGCTGCCCAGGGCAGCCACAGTTAGCCCTGCAGGGCAGGGGGACGTAGGGCTGGGCTGGTTTCTTTTTAGAACATGATCAGGTTTGAAAACATTTTCTGCTTTCGCTTATGAAATATATGTTCACTTTTTTAGCCGGGCGTGGTGGCTCACGCCTATAATCCCAGCACTTTGGGAGGCTGAGGTGGGTGGATCACTAGGTCAGGAGTTCGAGACCAGCCTGTCCAATATGGTGAAACCCTATCTCTACTAAAAAATACAAAAATTAGCCGGGTGTGGCCTCGGTGACAGAGTGAGACTCTGACTCAAAAAAACAAAATAAAACAAAAACTCAACAACAACAAAAAAATGAAGTATATGTTCATTTTTTTAAAAAAGTATTTTAGAAAAATATAACTATAAAAATTATCTGGGCTGCGTACAGTGGCTCACATCTGTAATCCCAGCACTTTGAGAGGCTGAGGCAGGCGGATCACGAGGTCAGGAGTACTAGCCCAGCCTGACAAACATGGTGAAACCCTGTCTCTACTAAAAATACAAAAAAAATTAGTCGGGTGTCGTGGTGGGTGCCTGTAATCCCATACTCAGGAGGCTGAAGCAGGAGAATCACTTGAACCCTGGAGACAGAGGTTAAAGTGAGCCGAGATCGTGTCATTGTACTCCAGCCTGGGCAACTCCATCTCAAAAAAAAAAAAAAATCCGTAATCTCACCATCTCAGATGTCAAGATTACTTTTCATACTTCCTTATTTTGTTAATAAAGGTGGGACAAAATCATAGCTTGTAAAAAACTGAGATGATGGTGAACCCAGTTCTGAGGCTTCACTTTCTGCTTCTGTTTGGGTCTCCATGCTGTCAAATTCTCTGAAGAGGCTGCTGCCCTCCTGAGTCAGCTGCACCCAGCAAGGCCCTAGAAGAGCCTCCGCTGGTGGACAGAGGAGCTGCTGCATGCAGAGGAGGAAGCTGGGCTGAGGGCTGGCACCAGGGCACGGGGCAGGGAGGCTGCGGGTCCCTGGTCTCACGGGTCTCAGTTCTATGGAGCTGCCTGTCAGTCCAGGTGTTCAGTCCCCCAACCCCGTCTTTGGGTCTCAGTGGTACTGGATCCAGGCACACCTTTGGGATAAGCTGTTAAAAAGCTGGCTGAGGGAGGACCACCCACGTCCATGCCCATGCTCCTATGTGGATCTCCCGGGATCATAACCTTGTGGCTGACACGTTTCCTCTCCAAGGCAGATGGGGCTGTGCTGTCCTCCAAGACTTGCTGGGTCCCCTCAAGGCCTCTGCCTGTGTGGGTGGGGTGCTCATGGGAATGAGGGTCTGGGGGCTGGGAAATCGAACACCACAGGGATGGGGCCATAGTCCCCACCAAATGGGCTCTCCTGGACAGTGACCCGGCATTCTGCCTCCAGTGGCTGCAGTGGGAGTCCCGATCTCAGGCCAGGGAGGGGAAGTGCAATGGTTGTCCAGAGCTGGTCCCATTCCTGGCCAGGCTCAGTAAAGTCACTGGCCAGTTTCTGGGCCTCAGTCTCCCCCAAGTTATTCAGCCTGGAGAATTAGTCACCATGCCTGTGATTCTGCCTCATCTTCTTGTGTGAAACAGGGAGGGTTTTTCTTGGCAGAATGGTGGTAAGACTTTGAGCCAGGAGACTGTCCCAGAGAAGGCAGCAGAGAGCAAGAGCACCAGGGCCTTCTCAAGGCCTCCGAGAGCCAGCTGGGTCTGGGCAGTAGATTTGTGGGAGGGTCCCCTGTTGGGACTCTGCCGACATGGAGTCCTCAGGGCTTGTGTGAGTGCTCTCAAAGCCACAGGATGGGACGATCACCTCCTTTCTCCAGGCCACGCAGCCAGCGCCAGAAAGCTCTGCAGCTCCCTGCACAGTCTGGAGAAGGGCTTCCTTCCAGTTTGAAGTCAGTGTTTCTATCTCATTGCCATGCTCGCCCCTACTGCTACATCCTGCACCAACCATTGCCACTTTATACTGACCAGGTGGAACCAAACACTCACATTCCACTCGGCTCCCCATCCCTCCCCAGGGAGAACAGGCCCACAGGTGGTGCACCTGTGAGGAGAGTGGAGGCTGGCCACAGGCCTCATCAAATCTGCCTCCCTTGCTCAAAAGCCCTGCCCAGAACATGCCTCGGTCTCAAAAAAGAGTACACTGGGACCTAACCCACATGCCTCATAATCTTTTAAGCAGAAACAGCAAGCAGATTATGGGACAGGACAGATCATGCTAGTAGGATTAAGCTTAGAATATCCCAGATAATCTCAGATGCCCCTCCCCCAGTGGGGCAAGAGAGTACTTCTGAGGGTTAAGGGGAATAAGAAAAAGAAGGAAGGGCTGGGTGCAGTGGCTCACACCTGTAATCCCAGCACTTAGGGAGGCCAAGGCAGGTGGATAACTTGAGGTCAGGAGTTCCAGACCAGGCTGGCTGATGTGGTGAAACCCCGTCTCTACTAAAAATACAACAATCAGCCAGGTGTGGTGGCGTGCATCTGTAGTCCTGGCTACTCGGGAGGCTGAGGCAGGAAAATTGCTTGAACCTGGGAGGTGGAGGTCGTAGTGAGACAAGATCGCACCACTGCACTCCAACCTGGGCGACAGGGCGAGAAGCCGTCTCAAAAAA